TAGCTGCTATGTTTCAGGCAACTAAGAAAGTTGATATGATGCCAATCAAAATGCAAGTATATGAAATTCCTGCACATTGTTATAGTGTGGAAGAAGAGGTAGATGGTAAACCATGGTATTATGATATCCTGCAATATATCAAAAATCAAAGTTATCCACAAAATGCATCTGAAATTGATAAAAGAACCTTGAGAAGAATTGTTGCTGGATATTTTCTTGATGGCGAGACTATGTATAGAAGAAGCAATGATCAAATGCTATTAAGATGTTTAAATACCAGCGAAGTCAGAAGCATCATTGAGGAAGTACACAGTGGAATATGTGGAACACATGCAAATGGTCTTTCCATGGCTACAAAAATAATGAGATATGGATATTATTGGGCTACCATGCACACAGATTGCATTGATTATGCAAGGAAATGCCATAAATGCCAGATATATGCAGATAAGATTCATGTACCCCCATCTCCTTTACATGTAATGACAGCACCCTGGCCATTTTCTATGTGGGGAATAGACGTCATTGGGGCAATCACACCAAAAGCATCGAATGGACATTGTTTCATCCTTGTGGCAATTGATTATTTTACCAAGTGGGTTGAAGTTGCTTCATATGCCAATGTTAAGAGGTCCACAGTCTGCAAATTCATAAAGAAAGAAATAATTTGCCGGTATGGCCTACCAGAAAGGATCATTACAGATAATGCTTTAAACCTGAACGACAAAATGATGACCGAACTTTGTGCATAATTTAAGATCAAACATGCAAACTCAGTGGCATATCGTCCAAATATGAATGGGGCAGTTGAAGCAGCAAATAAGAACATCAAGAGAATCATTACAAAGACCACTAAAACTTACAAAGATTGGCACGAGAAGTTACCTTTTGCTTTATATGCATACCGAACTACTGTTCGAACATCTACTGGGGCAACGCCTTTTTCTTTAGTCTATGGGATGGAAGCAGTCTTACCAATTGAAGTTGAGATTCCATTGCTTCAAATTTTGAGAGAAACAAAATTGGATGAATCTGAATGGATCCAAGCTAGATTTGATCAATTGAACCTTATTGAGGAGAAAAGATTGAAAGCTATTTGCCATGGACAGATGTATCAGAAACGGATGATGAAGTCTCATGACAAGAAAGTACATCCAAGAGAATTCCAAGAGGGTGATCTAGTACTAAAAAAGATTTTTCCTATACATAAAGATTTCCGTGGGAAATGGATGCCTAATTGGGAAGGACCATACGTTGTAAAAAAGGCCTTTTCCGGAGGAGTGTTGATCTTGGCAGAAATGGATGAAAAAATTCTGAGAAACCCAATAAACTCATATTCTGTCAAGAAATATTATGCTTGAAGAAAAAATGAAATGAAAGAAGAAAAAAAAAAGAAAAAGGAGGGTCAAGATGAAAACCCGCAAAGGGCATCTTGCAACCAAATAAAGGATTTGAGTTGAAAACCTGAAAGGGCGGCTCAAATGCATGTTGATATTAGGCATCTGGCAATTGAACCCTCTTAAGATTTTGATAGTTTGGGAGGAACTTCACATCTACAAGCATTCTGACAACGTTTGAGATCTTCCAGACAAAAGCTTACATCAGTACTCTAAATTATGTCAATTTGATTAATTTAGAAATACTTATGCTAATAATTTGTTGAGTCATTTGAATTTTTATCATTCCTATAAATACAATTCTATCTATTTATTAATAAATTCTAAAGTTTATTTCCTCTAAATTTAATTTATTTGAGATTCAATTTATTTTTGAAAATTCAATTTAATGGATAAACATAATTTTGAAATAAGTTAAAGATTTCTGAATATCACTTTATGTTAATACTTTTAAAGGCATGGAATACAAAGTAAGTCTTATCAACGTTTGCAATCATTGTTAAAAAGCAAACAAATTATTACCATCATAGAGTTATTTGGAAGCGGAACAAGAAGAAATCTGTTCTCAATTGGCAGATTATGAATATAGCCTTTTTCCATACAGCAGTACAAAAATGCTTCGAATCTACAAATTATGGCTCTACATCATATAAGTACTGTGATGTTTTGGTCCAAACACCAACTGAAGCAACCACCACGTTATCATAGTATAAATAAGGAGACTCAATAGCATCTTCTGGAAGTGTTCTTTGAATTATCTGATCTGGTTCAGTAAGAACTCCAAAACCAATCATTGAATTAGGAAGATGAACTGCATGATTATCTTCATCAAAAAGCTTCTTTCCAAGCTTCCTCTACTTCTTCCTTTTCAAAAATCATAGCCCAAGTTTTGCCTTTTCTTGTAATTGGGATCATTGTATAATGGCTTCCTATCTTTTACTGGAAGAAGTGTGTCAGCAGCCTTAACCATTTGAGCAACACATATAAAATCTGTCAACTCTGCAATTGATGAATCAGGATCATATCTTTATGATTATTGAAGACGTAGCATTTGAGTATCCCATTTTCGTCAAGTATAACAGTTTACTCTCCTCATCAGAATCAGAATTCAGGATTTTCTCGGTATCAAAAGAACTATCAATATCTGTGAAATCATCTTGAAAGATCACTTCATGATCAGATAAGTAGTTATCAAAATCAACATGTTGCATGAGTGCGAGCTTTTCAAGAGCATATACTATTGAGTTTTATTCTCAAGTGGTTTTGTGACATCATACAAAAATTCAGGCATATCTACATCTACGCTATTCAAAGATGATAGATTCTCCATTCGAAGAGGAAAGATTTATTGGATTTCTACACAATTGAAGAAAGACCGAGTTTACCAATTTGAAATCAAATAAAAATGAACTTAATATTCATGCATCATATTTAGGCATTTGCAAAAATATGTGCATTTTCATTCATTTTATACATGTTAAAGGTTAACAGGAATTTCAAAGATTTTAGCAAAGATTCAAATCCATCACTTGATGGATCAGCTTTTCCAGAGAAAGTTCATAATGAGAAGAACTCATCTGAAGAAGGAAGAAGAAGTTCATAATGAGAAGAGCTTGTTCAACCTTTTGCTCAAATCCATCACTTGATGGATCAGCTTTTCCAGAGAAAGTTCATAATGAGAAGAACTCATCTGAAGAAGGAAGAAAAAGTTCATAATGAGAAGAATTTGTTCAACCTTTTGTTTGAATTCATTATTCGATGGATCAGCTTTTCCAGATAAAGTTCATAATGAGAAGAACTCATCTGAAGAAGGAAGAAGAAGTTCATAATGAGAAGAGCTTGTTCAACCTTTTGCTCAAATCCATCACTTGATGGATCAGCTTTTCCAGAGAAAGTTCATAATGAGAAGAACTCATCTGAAGAAGGAAGAAAAAGTTCATAATGAGAAGAATTTGTTCAACCTTTTGTTTGAATTCATCATTCGATGGATCAGCTTTTCCAGAGAAAGTTCATAATGAGAAGAACTCATCTGCAGAAGGAAGAAGAAGTTCATAATGAGAAGAGCTTGTTTAACCTTTTGCTCAAATTCATCACTTGATGGATCAACTTTTACAGAGAAAGTTCATAATGAGAAGAACTCATATGAAGAAGGAAGAAGAAGTTCATAATGAGAAGAATTTGTTCAACCTTTTGTTTGAATTCATCATTCGATGGATCAGCTTTTCCAGAGAAAGTTCATAATGAGAAGAACTCATCTGAATAACGAAGAAGAAGTTCATAATGAGAAGAGCTTGTTCAACCTTTTGCTCAAATCCATCACTTGATGGATCAACATTTCAAGAGAAAGTTCATAATGAGAAGAACTCATCTTAAGAAGGAAGAAGAAGTTCATAATGAGAAGAACTTGTTTAACCTTTTGTTCAAATTCATCACTTGATGGATCAACATTTCCAGAGAAAGTTCATAAGGAGAAGAACTTATCTGAAGAGGAAGAAGAAATTCATAATGAGAAGAATTTGTTCAACCTTTTGCATGACTCCATCACAGAAGGAGATATATCATCATCAGTATTTCCAGAAGGAGTTCATAATGAGAAGAACTCATCTGAAGAAGAATTTGTTCAACTTTTTGCTAGATTACTTCACAGAAAGAGATGAATTGTCATCCCCAGTGGAAAAGTTCATAATGAGAAGAACTAATCCCAAAGAAGAAGAACTTGTTCAACATTTCCATCATAATCAAGTGAAGTCAAATGAAAAAAAACACTTATTGTCTTTTCGTCTTTGCCCTATTCTCGTTAACACAAGAATGAACAAAGAGGGGCAGCTGAAGACACTAGTTTTTTTTTCATTTGTTTTATTTATTATTATTATTTTGTTTTAATATTATTATTATATTATATTATTATTATTAAATAAATAATTTATTATTATTACAGGCCTAATTACAAATCAACTCAGTCCAGTTTACATGCCCAGGCCCAATCAGATACAAGCCCACAAGAAACCCTAAACCCAATTTAGGGTTTCTATCATCTAACCCTGGTCGCCTCAGCATCACAGCCGTTGGATCTGAGAGATCCAACAGCCCACACACATCCAGAACAAACCCTAGGGTGATGATACCCTAGGGACCACGCGGTCGCCGTTCGCCAACCTCTGCTACCACGCTGCCACGACGCCAACCGAAGGATCCAGAAGGCCTAGCCATAGCCGCACACGTCGCCCTCAACGGTGAGTCACCACTGGAAGTCCGGTGACTCACCAAGCTTCAATCTTTTACCCAGTCCGAAGAAGATACCGGCGAGGCTTATAAAAACCGACCACCTGCAAACAAGAGAAGGAACGGAGAGCACAGAAAAAAAAGCCAGAGAACATAGCAACCAAACCATCAAAAAATCGAAACAAAAATTGAGAGAAGCCTTACCGAAGAAGCTGCGACGCCATCGGAGTTCATAGGCTGCCGTAGAAGCAAAATACCGAAGGTTTTTTTTTGTAGATCTATGTAAATAGGAGATGTTTTGTGGGAAAGGGGGGTCGGATTCAATTTTAGATCATCCCGATCTATGTTTTGAGAGATTTTAGAATTTTCCGGCCACCGATAATGGTGGTCGGCGGCGAGGAAGGCGGCGGCAGACGGCTGCCGGCCGGTGACCGGCTTCCCTCCGGTGAGGGAAGTTAGAGAGAGGCGAGAGAGTTTAAAACTCTCTCAGGAAGAGAGAGAAGGAAAGAGAAGAGAAATGAATTTTTGGCCTTAGGGCCGTCTGATTTAGGGCTTAAATACCTCTCCTCGAACGACGCCATTTTAGGGAGGGGTCTATTTGTAATTTATTAAAAGTTAAACCCCGTACACAGTCCAGTAATTTTGTAATTTTATATTATAGTCACTGAAATCAAATTATAAACTTTTTAATTTGATCTCTTAATGTTATTTCTATATAATTTAGTCACTGACATAAATATTTTAGACTAATAACCGATTTAGTCCTTTAATTCTAATTAATTTTATTTTAATCCCGAATACATGTTTTAAACTTATTTTAATTTGATATATGAATTTGATATAATTTTTAATCTAGTCACTAAATTAATAAAAGGTAGAATAACATATTTAGCCACTGAAAAATTAATAATTATGATTTAATTCTATTAGGTTATAATTTAGTCACTAATTTCAATTTTTATTTATTTTTTACAAGTTTTATATATAGTTTTAATTTTATTTATTGTTTAGTTATATGTTAATATGTTTACTTTTAATTATTATTACTATTATTATTATTATTTAGCCATAAATATATATATTTATATAATAAATAATATTTATTTTATTTATTAAAATCTTATTTAATTATTTTTAACTTATTTTAATCATGTTTTAATATTTATTTTTCAATATTAAGAAAGGGCATTCTTAAAATAAATGGATGTCCATTTTCTGATATTTTTAAATAAATAAATATCCTATTTTATAAATTATATATTAATTGTTTTAATTATTTATTTATTTTTTAATATCGAAGAAAAGAGCTGTCTTAAGGCACCTAGAAGTCCTTTTCTGATATTTCTAAATAAATAAATATTTTATTTATAAATATATATAAATTAATATTTTTTTCATAATTATAATTTTGAAATAATAGGATTATAAATTAAATATATTTTGAATTTTAAAATTTCTAATAATAAGAGACAATTTATAATTAAAAAGTACCAATTTTGGGCGTTGTAGGAGTGTTAATCCTTCCCTAAACGTAACCGACCACGAATCCCTTTTTATTATTAAAAAGAAAGAATTTTTGGTTAAAACGCAGATCAGTTTATCTTTTAATCAATGTTTTCTTAAAAACTCTTTTAAAGGATGATTTTTAGGTATTCGACCTACCTGACCCAAAAGGCCGATGGTGACTCCCAAATTATTTTTAAAAAAAAACATTTATTCCCATCACTTTTCCCGCCAAGTAAAAAATCCGTGCCCAGACGAAAACCGGTTACGACAGCCAGCTTCCATCTTCCAATGATTTATGTGTCCATCTTTCTAAAATTGAAAGTCTTTCATTGGCTGCAAATGAATTATCCGGTAATATCCCATCAAATATAGGCAAATGCAGTAACCTTCAAGTTTTGCAATTGTCTGTTAACAAATTTAGTGGGATCATCCCAAGAAGCATTGGAAATTTGACAAAAAATTATCTCTGGGAGCTAATAATTTAGAAGGTATGAGTTTTCTTTTAACTTCTTTAGTTTAAGCACATTTCGTTTTCTGTTTGTTATTTGAACTTTGATTCACAGTAGATACCAAAAGTAAAACTTCTTTGATTTGAATTTTTGGAATTGTCTAAGAACCTTTTATTTCCTTGAAGCAAAATATTTAATTTGATGTTCAAATATTATTAAAAATTCAATATCTTCAGAGCAGTCTGGAACAAAAAGGAAAACTTGTTTGGTTTACGTAACAAAATGAGTAATTGTTATTTTCACTATGTTTTGCGGGTGAAATTCCTGAAGAAATTGGTAATCTTGTTAGTTTGGAGATGCTAAGTATTCAAGTAACTTAATGCCTTACAGGTCGAATTCCGACTTGTATTATCAACATTTCTTCTCTCAAGATTATTGATCTCTCCGACAATAGTCTATCAAGTACTCTGCCTGATGATCTCTGTCACCATCTTCCCAAACTTGAAGAGCTTTATTTGGATTCAAATGAATTCAGAGGGATCATTCCGACAAGTATTTGGAATTCAACCATGCTCCAAAGTATATATCTATCCGACAACATTTTACAAGGTATGTTGTTTTATTTTTAATACTTATCCCAAGTTCAATAAACATTTAATTTAATTTGTTTCTTCCTTTTTTGTCCTATACGTCGTCGTCGTCATACACTAAAATTATCAAAAGTAAAAGATGTAATTGTCCTCTAAATATTTAAAATTAATATAATATTCATAATATATCAATACATTTAAAAAATTAAAGTAGATGACTATAATAGTAAATGATAATCCATTGTAACCAATTAATGACATAGGAACTATTAATTCATAATATATGAGTGAAAAGTGCTATAAATAAAATACTGATAAATTATGTATAATAAAAGTAGGTAATTGATTATAGAAGACGATATTATGTATCTCTAATTTGTAATTGTAAAAAGTTATATAACTTGCTAATCAAGTAAAATAACTATAATATCACCGACTCTATAATATCTAAATGCAATTATGTATTTATATTAAGATTTATAATTTTAAAAATATTAACTTACATTCATATTGTCAATTATATGTTTTTAAAATTATTGGTTAAAATCTGCTACCAATTTGTATAAATGGATAAAGTTTGTGATTAAGTCCCGTACCTGATGTTCAAAATAAGATCCTTACTCTTTTGGATTTAAAAATATTATTTTTTTAACAGGGAACTTGCCGCCCATGATCAACCTTCCAAAGCTTGAGGAGCTTGTTTTGTGGGATAATAAACTCAGCGGAAACATTCCCACCTCTATCTCCAACGCTTCCATGCTAAAGCTTCTAGAATTAGAGAACAACTTCTTCTCAGGCCCAATTCCAGATACGTTTGGCCACTTGAGACACCTTGAATCGTTAAATATTGGATTCAATAATTTGACCACAGAATCTGCTACTCATGAGTGGACCTTTCTTTCTTCTTTGGCTAATTATAGGAATTTGACATATATAGTAGTTTCGGGAAATCCATTGCATGGAGTTCTTCCATCTTACATTGGGAATCTTTCGACATCCCTTCAAAACTTTCACGCTAAGGATTGCGAGCTTAAAGGTAATATTCCTATGGAAATAGGTAATTTAAGCAACATGTTGGTTTTAGCACTTGACAACAATGAATTGCGTGGATCTGTTCCCACATCAATAGGACGGATGAGAAATCTCCAAGCTTTGTATCTTTTCTCTAATAAATTAGGAGGTCCCATCTCTGAAAGCATATGTGGTTTGGAGAGATTATACGTCTTGTCTTTATCGTTGAATGAGCTGCATGGACCTATACACAATTGTTTGGGTAATTTGACTTCTTTGGGGTATCTTTACTTGGCTTCCAACAAATTGACTTCTCCAATACCTTCAACTTTGTGGAATCTTAAAGATATCTTAGTATTAGATTCATCATCAAACTACCTCAACAATTCTAATGCTCTTGATGTTGGAGTTTTGAGGAGTCTGGTCGAATTGAACTTATCAACGAATCTGCTCACGGGTGATATCTCATCTTCAATTGGGGGTCTTCTAACTCTGGTTTCATTAGACTTATCTAATAATAAGTTACGTGGTCTTATCCCCCAATCACTCGGTGGCTTGATTAGTATGAAATTCTTGGATTTAAGCAATAACGATCTTTGTGGAGTCATTCCCAAGTCTTTGGAAAAACTTCGATTTCTAAATTATCTTAATGTTTCTTTCAATAGACTTGAAGGAGAAATTCCCACGGATGGACGTTTTCCAAACTTTTCTAGCACATTATTCATGAATAATTCTGCACTTTGTGGTCCACCAAGATTGCTAGTCCCACCTTGCAAGAAAAACATCCGCAAAAACTCCAAGATGATTTTTCATGCTTTAAGGTATGGTTGACCTGCATTTGGGATTGTCATAGTACTAATAGTCTTAACTATTATGTATAGAAAATGCAACAGTAGGAACACAACTCTACCAATTAAGGATGATTCATCGTCTTTGAAAACTTGGAGAAGAATTTCACAAGCTGAACTTTCACAAGCAACCGATGGATTTGTGGAAAACAATTTGCTTGGTTCAGGGAGTTTTGGATATGTATATAGAGGAAGGCTTTCAGATGGAATGGAAGTAGCAATCAAAGTCTTCAATTTGCAGACAGAAGGAGCATTTAAGAGCTTTGACATTGAATGTGAAGCATTGCGTAATATAGTTAATCGGAATCTTGTCAAGATCATTACCTGCTGCTCTAATGTCGAGTTTAAAGACTTGGTGCTTGATTTCATGTCTAATGGAAGCCTTGATAAGTGGTTACATTCTAAAAATCGCTCTCTTGATATCTTACAAAGGATGAACATAATGATAGATGTTGCAACAGCTCTAGAACATCTCCATACTGGACATCCAACACTTGTAATTCATTGCGACCTAAAACCGAGTAATATTCTACTTGATGATGATATGGTTGCACATGTGGGAGATTTTGGCATTGCCAAATTGTTGGGAGAAGGTGATGTAATGAGACAAACCATGACTCTTGCAACTATCGGCTATATGGCAACAGGTCAATTTTTACTCTTTTTTTATTAATCATTTTTCCTTTCATTTTATATTCTTTCATGTGTATGTGTATATATAATGAGACAAGCATTTTAGAAATAATGAAGGATCAACAGACTTTTTGATTATACTTGAAATGCAGAATTTGGATCAGCGGGAATTGTTTCTATAAAATGCGACGTCTATAGCTATGGGATTGTCCTAATAGAAACTTTCACGAAGAAAAAGCCAACTGATGATTTCTTCACTGATGAAATGACTATGAGGGATTGGGTGAAAAGATCATTATCTGAAGGAATGATAGACATTGCAGATGTTGATATATTAAGAAGAGAGGATGAGTACTTTGTTGTTTAAGCAAATTGTATTGCATCTATCATGGACTTAGCTTTAGTTTGTTCCGCTGAGTTACCAGAAGAAAGAAAAGATATGAAGGATGTTGTGGCTGAGCTGAAGAAAATCAAACAAAGGTTTCTAAACAGCATCGAACATGTTTAATAAAGATGGTGAGTAATAAGTATGCTTTTGATCATTAATTTACTCTTATTTTGAATTTAGTTAAACATTTTAATTATTATAGCGTCCATGGATATGAAGCCTTTCCTATATACATCACACGTATATTGTGAAAATTAATAAACTAATTTACTCTGTTTTTCTCACTCAGTTGCTCTAATGTACTAGGGCTCTCTTTGGAGTTCAAACTTCAATTGCAAAATCAAGATGGACACAGATCAAACGAGCAGCAGACTTTTCTATTAATTCGAATTTATGTTAGCTTTGGACCATTAAATAATTTTCTTTGATAGTTTGGATTTGTTTCGTTACCCGCTTATTTCATAAGTACTCTCCAATTTCATTTTAATATTTACTGTCATAAAAAATAATGCATGCAGTTAAAGTTTACTTATTTGTTGAAATAGTCGTATCTCTTTTCTTTGAGATAAAATTTTGTGAATTGTCGAACACCAGAACATGATTTAAAGCCATCATTTTCGTATGCGTGACCAAAAAACAAGGTATGGATCTCTGCTAAGTTTGACTCTTAGTTTTATTTGTTATTAAAATGAAATATTTCATTTATACAAATGTCGTTTTACTGTCAAATAATTTTCTTAATCTCAAAAGAAATAAATAAAAATAATAGTAGGAAGAGTGAGGGTCGATCCACAGGGATTATGGAGTTGCCGATGTAGAATGTTTTTTATTATGATTTAGGTGAAATTTTGTAAATAAAATGGGGGAGGTTTGTTTGAAAGAGAAAATTAAATAAAGAAATAAATTAAAGAAGATAAATTGAGATAAAAAAAAAGTATATAGTAAAAACAGCCTCAGCTTTCGCTTTGCTTTAATTCCATTGATCCTTGAATAGGATTTTCACTTCAGATTCATGCCAATTACAGTCTACATTGTTACAAGTCGATCCTTCCCCAACTATAAATCAAAACAACAATCAAGCCAACGTATACTTTTTGAAGTGAAGGTGTTTTGATTTTATAAGGATGGTCGATTGCAAATCCTTGATTCTAGAAAATTGGGAATGTAACCCGAAGGGTATTAAATATTTTTTTCAATTCTCAGGATTAGAATTGAGTCTCGCTTAAGCCTTTGACTTATTGAAAAATTAGCTAAGCATGATAGGTTTTTTCGGGAAGAGAAAAGGTTAAATCCTAAGTGCCCCTATCACACTAAAGCACCATATTCAAGCGTGTAGTCTTGAAAAGTATTACGCTACAAGTTCTAGAATGTTAAGAACTAGTTCGACACACTCAATAAAACAAAGAGCAGGAATGAAAACATATGCTCGTTAGGATCAAAACTCACATCAAAGGTTCAATTTGTACTATGTCATGCAATCAGTTCAACTAACAAATGAACGGAATGTTAAGAATAATTTTTAAGAAAATCAATTAATCATGCTAATTGCTATCATGCATCCTAAATTCCAACAAAACGAGATCAAAATTCACAAGAAAAATCAAAGAAATATGACGAAAATTGAGATAGACAACAAGAAATTTCAACACATCAATTCAATAAAAACCCAATTTTAATCAATTAAATAAGCAAGGTAAAAATTTACGCAAATCTTAATTCCCCTACTTAAATCATATTGTCCCAATATGAAAATAAAAATTAATGCACAAGAGAGGGAACCTAAATACTCCCTTTTCTAATGACGGGTTGTTTGACGTGATAAATTGTTGTAAAACAGAATGTTCCATCGAGAAGTCATCAACTGATATTAAAAGTTTCTACGAAACAAAGTTGGGCGGTGCATCAGTAACAGGTAATAAAAATATATGTATTATTTACTTCCTCAAAATATTCATGCTCGATAGTGGACATTAGCGGTCTCGGTTAACCATTAGAACCAGAAATGAAAAATGATGAACGATCGATAAGTGCACGAGCGGCGCTGCATGGGTGATGAGTTTTGGCGGCGGTTGCGTGTAGAAAGGAAGAAGAAAATTGGCTGAAGAAATAAAAGGGTTTTGGCTTTTTTTTTTAATTAGAGCACGTGAATGAGTTAATTAAAAGAGAAGAGTTTGAACTGAGTGGGATAGGTTTGGTGATAAAATCATGTGGGCTCCACAGCTTTTTTAAACTGGTGAAGACTTTGAAGTGAATAAAATTATAACGGAAAAGAAAATGTGGGATTTTGAGTATCCAGGAGAGTGGAATTTGATTTGGCACGCGAGACCCAGGGGTTTTCGAAGAACAATTTGAATTGATCAAATGGTGGAGTTTTCAGGAGAGAAAGATTTGTTTTGGCGGTAATGGGAGATTTGGGAGGTTCTGCTAGGAGGCGGTTAAAAGATGGTGTGATTGGTTAAATAAGTGACATCACTACAGCAAAACAAGTATATAGCGGCGTTTGTCGCGGCGTTTTCAAAGCAAACGCCACTAAATTTGTACATATAACAACGTTTATATCCAAAACGCCACTAAATGATAACATTAACGGCGTTTTTCAACAAACGCCGCTAAAACTCGTACTTTAGTGGCGTTTATTCGACAAGCGCCGCTAAAGATAAGTACTTTAGTGGCGTTTTTAAAAAAAACGCCGCCATAGAATCGTTCTTTAGTGGCGTTTTTAAACAAACACCGCAATAGGGTACATATATTGTGGCATTGTTAGATAAACGCCGCTAAAACCTAGTACTTTAGAGGCATTTTATGCAAAAACGCCGCTAAAACTTGTACTTTAGTGGTGTTTGTAAACAAACGCCGCCATAGAATCGTTCTTTAGTGGCGTTTTTAAACAAACGCCGCAATAGGGTATATATATCGTTGCGTTTTTAAATAAACGCTGCTAAAACCTAATACTTTAGTGGCATTTTATTCAAAAATGTCGCTAAATACTCATACTTTAGTGACGATTTTAGACAAACGCCGCTAAAACCTAGTACTTTATTGGCGTTTAACCATTAACCCTTTCTCATTTTTCCCCCCTTAACCTATTTTTTCATTCCCGCCGTTTACCCAAACCCATATGATGCTTCTTCGCCAATCTCACTTTAAGCAACGCGGAACAATTGGTTTATCTGTGGGAAAAACACCAATAAAGCGATTGAAATTTGCAATAAACGCAATCAGACAGATACCCACTTTTCGCTTTCAATTTACTTCTTACTTCCCAAAATCTGGCAACCGTAGAAGGACTGAGGGCTCGTTCATCCTTTAAACCTGAAATCTTTGATATTAACAGCAACGACGAAGCGTGTAGGCCTTGGCATCACAGGTTGTCAATGGCTTTCACCTGGGGCTCCTCTCTCAGAATCACTCTTCTTCTCCTCCTTCTTGCTGCTATCGTTTTCTCTTGTTATTTCTTCATATTTTTTTCACATACAAGTGAGATTTATAATATTAATTGATAAAGTAAATACTATCTAAAAATATAACATTTAAATTTATATATAATAATATTTTATTTTATTTATTTAAAAATAAAAAATATTAATTATATCAAAATTAAATATAAATAAATAAATTTCAATAAAATATAAAATTACACCTCGTATTCATTTTGAATTATACTTCATTATAATTTAATTTTTATTATTATATGACAATTAATATAAAATTTAAATAGACAAAACCTAATAAATATTAAATTACACCTTACATTCATCTTAAATTTTAATTCTATTACAATTAAAACTATTCATAGTTTTAGATAAATAATAGTTATTGTTCTAAATTATACTTTTACTATAAATTAAATAAATTAAAATCATAAGATAAATAATATATTAATATTGAAATTTACAAGTAATTAAAAAAAATAATTAACCACATAAATACACCTGTAATGTTACTTTGTAAAGAAAGGGTCATTCAATAACTTTTGCTTGTCCTTTCTATTTTTATCAGAAAAAGAATTGAACAATGGAACACGAAACTCAGCAGCAAGGAAATCCTAGTAACCCAACTGCCGATCAAAACGCTGCTTTGATCAACTCCTTCATCGAAATCACTTCTTCTTCCAAAGAAGAAGCCCTCTTCTTTTTGGAATCCCACCAGTGGGACCTGGACGCCTCCGTTTCCACCTTCTTCGACAGCAATTCTACCGCCGCACAACAACCGCGCTCAATCGCGCCTCCCGTCTCTGGCGCCGTTAACAACTCTCTGACTTCCTCACCCTCTGATTCCGCTGATTATTCTCCCTCGCAATCGCCTTCTAGGTCCCCCCTCCCCTTCTCCTACCCGCCCTTCTCGCCCCCCTTATACGCTTAGGTCGCGCCGCAACGCTGATAAGAAACCGTCTGGTAGCGATGGAAGCAACGCTCGTGGCGTTCGTACCCTCGCCGATCTGAACCGGTCCCCTCCTGGTGGGTCCGACGGCGATTCCGATGAAGGCCAGGATTATTTCACCGGCGGTGAAAAAAGGTATAACTCTTTTACCGTGGCCTTCATTTTTTGTTAGGATTTTTTGTTTTGCTTCTTTAGTTTGTTTATCTGGGTGAGCAGTGGGATGGTGGTTCGAGATCCTTCGAAGCATCACGATGTGGACTCGATTTTTAATCAAGCGAGACAAGCAGGAGCGGTGGAAGGATCTGATTATATTGCACTTTATTGCTTCTAGCTATGCACTGGAGTTGTTAAGATTCCGGGAAGCTCGAGTTGAAGTTGCCTTGAAGGTAATATTCTAATCTTCGATTCTAGATTTAATTGTATTTTTCATGATAAAGTTCCATTTTCATGATAACCTATATAAATATTTCAGGACTTCAGACATGGGATAGACATCCCCGTGCATTCTATAACTTATTTGGGCAGGCAGATAGGGTTGAGAAGGTTGTTGAAACCATCCAAAGATTGGTAGGGTTCGAGATTCCTATAATATATTTTGAAAGGTTAAAATAGTTGTTGTGTTAAACTGTTGCAAAATGCTGCATATTACAGGAACAGGGTGATCTGAAGCTTAGAGTGCAGACTTTGGAAGCTGAAAGGGCTTTCCAACGTGTTAATGTTGTTCAGAAGACAATAGGAAGTGTGA